CTCAATGGGTAAAAGTGCTCACTGTAAAAGCATAAGAATCTGAGTTCAGATCCAGCACCCATGTTAAAAACAAAACAAAACAAAACAAAACAAAAAAAATACACCACCGGGCATGGTTGAGCACACACCTGGACCCCAGAGCTGTGAGGGCATGGAGACAGAAGGGCACATGGGGCTTGCTGGCTGCCAGCCTAACTTCAGGTTCAGTGAAAAACCTTGTCTCGGGAGAATAAGGTAGAGTGATAAGAGCAGGACATCAGATGGCCTCCTTTGTTTTTAAGTGTGAGCACAGGTGTACACACCTGCACATACTTATTCATACACCACATACACATTTAGAAATACACAAAGGGGCTAGAGAGAAGGTCAATGGTTAAGAACATTGGCTGTTCTTACAGATGACCTAGATTGGAATCCCAGCACTCACATAGCAGCTAACATCTGTCCATAACTCCAGTTCTAGGAGATGCAGGCAATATACACATACACATAAAATAAAAATAAATTATTTTTTTTAAAAAAGAAACACACACACACACAATTTCACCTTTAAAAACCTGGCTTCAAGCCAGGCATGGTGGCGCACACCTTTAATCCCAGCACTCAGGAGGCAGAGGCGGGAGGATCTCTGTGAGTTCGAGGCCAGCCTGGTCTACATAACGAGTTCCAGGACAGCTGGGGCTACAGGGAAACCCTGTCTCAAAAAGACCGAAAAAAACAAAACTGGCCTCAGCAGGGTATGGGATGATAGCTCATACCTATAATCCCAGTACTCAGGAGGCTGAGGACAGAGAATTGTTGTGTCTGAGGCCAGCCTAGGCTATAAAGACAGACCCTTATTCAAAAACAAAACACCCCCCCAAAAAAAATCCGAAATAACAAAAATACCCATTAGCTTCTATGCTAGGCTTTGCCACTATCTGGGAGATTCTGGGCAAGTCACAAAACCTCCCTGGTCTTAGTGGCCCCCCTCCCCCAAATGAGGAAATTAGACAAAATAATCTTTCACTGAGCCCTCCTTTAATTATAACACCCAGGAGGCACACAGAGAGTTGCCAAAAGAAAAAATAAATTAAGCTTGTAGTTAGAGAATGCAACTCTGTCCCACATAAAAATCAGCTTTTTATTTTTTGTGTGAAGGAAAATGTTTGAGTACATTTAGCTTCAAGAAGCAAGGCTGACTATTATGCTGTCAGTTGCCGAGACAGAACAGCTAGCCAGAAGGAAGGCAAAGCCTTGAATCAAAAAGAATGAAAGAGACCTGACCTTGGTTGGGCAATGAAGGATTGCAACACAAAAGAAATGAGCTAGAAGGCATGAACTAGGGCAAGAATGTGAAACCCGGGGCAAAGGAAGATGCTCTTAGAGCACAGATCTGACAGCATCCATGCTCAGAAGGCAAAAGAGCAAAGAGAACCCTTTACCATTTCCTTTGTGCCCAAACCAATGAGGGAAGGGGTAAATAAGCAGTGTTCCAAAAGCAGCAGAAGCTGACACACAAACACCAGCAAAGCAGATTACAGGGTTCCTACCTTCTAAGATTAAAGGTAACTAAGTAGAAGAAATATTGGGATTGCAAAATTCTAGACCCTTTAGCTACTAGTGCTGATTAAGACTTGGAGAGAAAAAGTAAGAACCTTATCTTCAACTCCTGGACATAAGCCCTGACAGCACACATATATATCACTGGTGTCTAGCTTGTAAATTCCTTTTTTTCTGGCTTGTCAGAGTGGCAACAAAAGCACTAAGCTCAGGACACTTAGTTAGGCCCCCTGCCTCCTTTCTAACTCCCCTTCCATCCCTAACCTAACAACCTATTTATCTATCAAGCAAAGGCATGGGAGCAGGCAGGAGCCAGAAGTCTCTATGGGTTTACTCAACACTCCCTCCCCTATCTCTCCAGCTGGCAGGAAGTGAGGCAGGTTCAACAATTCAGGGCAACAGTGGGTGCAAAGAGCCACCCACATTTGGTCTGTCCTAGAAATCTGGGATGCAACATAGAAAGCTCTGCCAGAGAGGTGATAGGGCAAACCCTGATTCCATGGAAGGAAATATTCATCCTCAGTTGACAGAAAATTCCTCAACCATAGCCTGAAGCACTTAACCTAGAAGACCCTGGGGTAGGTAATTTAACCATGTAATCCCTCATTAGCTAATGGTCAGCACAAGTCTACCCAGCACCACAGATTCCACTGTTTTCTTTCCTATTTAAAAAAGTGGGCAGCACGGGTGGGGTGCCCTAGTCAAAATATTTTCCAAATTTTGAGTTTCTACCCTTCATGATAGCTCCCAATTTAGAGTATGCATTCTAGATTCCATCAAAACATGTTTTGCTGTTTTGGTTCTGTTGGTTATCCCTATAAAGAAGTAACATTCGTCTTACTACCGAGGAGTGGGAGAAGAAGAAGAAAAAAAAAAGGAACATTCCAAACCAGTTATGACACAGGCAAGTCCATATTTCAAGGAAAAAAATCTTGAAAAGGTTTTTAAACACTGTTTGTAAACTATAGTATTAACCATCAGCACTCACTGAGCACCCACTGTGCATAACATCCCAGGGTTCAAGGTGTGTCGTGCTCCCCCACCCCCCGCTGGGGATCAAGCCCAAGGCCTTGAGCATGCTGGTCAAGCACTCTACCATGGAGCTACAAGCCCAGACTCCTTCCTTTCACCTCCTCTCTTCCCCTCCTTCCATTCTAGAAATGCTTTTTTCCCTGCAGAGTTTTCATCTCCTAGCAACTTCCAAATATTTACTTAAATAATTATTTCATTGGCCAAAGAAAATATGGTAAGGCACCTTTGAGCCAGTGTGTCCAAAAGGGTTTTAAGGTACAAGGGAAGGAATTTTAAAAGCAGACTCAGCTAGGTGGGTGGCATATGCTAGTAATCCAGGCATTCAGTATCCCAGCATTTAGGAGGAGAGGCAAGAGCACTGCCACAATTTGAAGCTACCCTGATCTAAATGAAGAGTTTCAGGCCAGCCAGAACTAGGTAGTAAGATGACTCAACAAACAAACAAATCCCATCATCACCAACAAAAAAAGCAGACTTTAGTTTATAGTAACATTGAACTGCACAAATTCCCAGATTTCTTTGAAAATCTGAAACCCTATCTTCCTTCCTTTTATTTTTCATTTGATTGCCCCCATTTTTAGTCTACCTGGGAGGCAAAGGCTACATCAAAGTTACATCAAAAGTCCTCCACACCATATTCTTAGGTAAATGTACTTAGCTGAAGGGCAGTCTCTCAACCAATCTATATACTTAGGTAAGAGAAAATAGGTTCCATTTCTTTGTTGGAGAAAACCATGGACACTTAAAGCCAACATGAAACTATGCATCATTAATCCTTTCACCCAAGGACTGCAACTGGACTTAGAAGACTAAGGTAGATGAGAAAATGAAGGCCACCCTCAGAAGTACTTTTCAGCACAGGATGAACAATGATTATGAACATGGATACATGGCAAGAGTTTTCTGAAGCCATTTGTAGAAAACAGTCTAATAGGTCTGGAATAGAAGCAAGAACTGGTATTCCCAGGCCTCTTTAAAACAGTATTATCCATCTGCACCCCAGAGAAAATGGCAAATCACAGCCAGTACGGGATGAGCAATGCCAATAACCAGCTGGAACTTGACTCTACCGAGGTGGACTATAGCATCTGCCATCTAAACACAGGCAGCCTCTCTGGCAGCTGCCACTGGTGAAAGGGAATCACTAATCACTGTGTTGTAAGTAGAAGAAATTCAAAGTCCTGTTACCAGAAATGCCCAGATGTTCCTAAAAGCTACAGATGTGCCAGAGGCAAAGACCAAAACACCAACAGCAAAGAAAGCACAAGCTACCACTAAAATCCAGGCAATGAGGACACTATCACCCAAATATGCACATCCAGCCTTTATTTATTAACACTTACATATGGAAGTAGGTAGTCCCTGATGCAGCTGATGTAATTACAGAGAAATCAATTTATGCTGCATCTGCTGCAATCAGCTGAAAGCATAGGGTGAGCAGAGCAAAGCAGAAAATCAAGAGCCAAAGAACAGTTCACCAGGCCAGCTGCTTTGCAGGAACTTGTAGGCTGCTCAAGTCTGAGGCAGCCTGAGCTGACCCTATACTCGTAAGTACTCGGCTACAGCCCTACAAGTTTCATTTCCTGGAACATCAACTAAGATAATTTTCCTGGAGGGAGGGACGCAGTCCTAATGCCTCCTGGGGCTGCAGACACCTATCCTTCCAAGGCAAGCAGAAGGCAAGGTATCATTACACTATTTGGCAGCTATAAAACCACCAGGAGACTTTGATTTCCAATAGTTGCAGGAGATAACTGGCAGAGAGCAATACTTTCAGGGGCCAAAGAATTTTTCTACGCCAAACTTTCAAAGCCAGGGACAGTAACTCATAAGGCCTGATTAAGTATGGCACAGTACCATATCTCCTGCCCCTTGTTTACTGGCCTGGAATCTGTATCCCTTTGCTTTTTAGGTACTCACCAATTGAACACTTGGTAGATATGCCACAACAGGTATTTACCTTTTTACAGGTACTAACCCTTTATTCTGCCAGAGACCCAGCAGTATCATTTATCCCATTATAAACATCACTCAGCTTATATATGCAACCAAAAGCCTATTAACTTTATCAACTACTATGATTCTGATGAAATTTCAGCCAAGCTGGAAATCACATAAAGGTTTAATGCCAGCCTCTAGCAACAAGTGACTTGTGACAATAACAAGGTGTGAGAAAATGCATTCAACCAAGTAGCTGACTCCCAAACAGAAATTCTATTCCAAAGAGGTCCCACCTTGCGACAAAAGTCTGTAGGGAATCCTTTAATTTGGAAAAAACCTACATTATCATTACCAGCTACTCTGACCTTGCAATTGGTCATTACCCACAAACTAATGAGCATCCCACAGAGTGCACACAAGCATTTGGCAGTTAGTCCAGGGAAGTTCTGACTGGCAGCGGGCAGCTAGATCTGGCCACCTCTTACCTTTTCAGACTTGACTTTCTTTAGCGGGCGACACTCATTCTCCCCTTCCTCTGGCTCCAGCTTAGCTCCCAAAGGATTGAGCGCAGCCCCAGGTTCAATAGCTATACTCCCAAGTGGCTCCACAGTTCCTGTATCGAGCCCTGCACTTCCATCATACTGACCACCCCGTCCTCCCAAGGGAACTGGCTGGAGGACCCCAGGATCCTTTTCTGAACAAGTCCCCACTCCTTCATTTCTCTCCTTCTTGCTCTTAGATGAGCTGTTTTCCTTTTCCTTTTTTGATCCGGCTACACTGCGAGATGCCTTAGCCGCCTTCTCTGAGCCCTTGGGAGCAACAGCAGCAACCAGGCCTCCTGCATTGGCACCATCTCCTGAGCGAGCCTGCACCTCTTTCTTGTTTGCCGCCCCCTCACTTGGAGTGAACAAGGAAGTCCCTGGAGTGGGTTTGCTAGTGTCTTTGCCACTCTTATTCCTTTTGGATTTTGATTTGCCTTCCTTCCCTTGAGGACCTGGCACTGGGGTCACAAACTTGATGTTGTCTGGTAGTGTGGCCACAGCATTGGGAGCTGGTATCCCCACCTCCTTCGAGCCTGACATTTCCAGTTTCTGCTGGTCCTTTTCCAGATCGGCGTCCAGGTCAATGATGAGATTCCCTACTCCAATGTCCCATTCATCCCCACTGTCGTAAGTCTCAACCGGGTTTGCATCCACTCCTTTCCCTCCGGAGGCTCCACTGCTCAAGGACATCTTAGAGTCAACGTCCCACCTCAAGATTCAAGGCTCTTCCTTGCCCCGAGCTTTCCTATTTTCAGCTTCAGCTATGTTCTCAGACCTGCCACCTTGGTCAGTACATGTCCAGTGGACATCATTGCTGGAAAAAGAAAATTTAAAAAAGCTGTTAAGGGAAACAATACAGGCAAGGAGACAGCCTGAAATAAACTCCCATACGAAACGGATCATTACTATGTGGCTCTCAGACCTTAATAGGCAATACAAACAGGTTCAACTGTATTTCTAACCATGTCACAGTGGACCTAGGGAAAAGTTAATTCCCACTCCGTTTCCTCAGGGGAGAATATGGTATTTCCAATTGTCCCAAGACTCTGTGGTGTTAACTAGTAGGCCTCCATAATTAGTTTCCCCTTCCTGAAAGACTTACTTCTAGTACCTCTGCCAGCTGGTAATCTTCCCTCAATCAGCACAATCTTATATCACAGATTCAAGCTGTAACACAGCTTTGCTCACACTTCCTTTCTCCTTGCTGCTTGAATTATCAGTGACTCAGAACATGATCTAGCAAAGCTTTCACAATTCTCTACTAACAGGGCCAGCCCCTACTAAAAATAGTGTATAGATTCCTTGTCATTCTAGTATCAAGGAGAAAAGTTTTATTATGTTAAGTACAAGAGAAAAAAAAAGGAGAACTAGGGAAAACGCACATTCAGGAAGGGGGTTAGTGAAGACTGCAACTGGAGGTAACAGTTCTCAGAGAAACTACAACGTCCTTACCAAACTCTCAGCTGAAAATCATGTCCAAAAAGCAGGGTTTAGGGGGCTGGAGAGATGGCTCAGCAGTTAAGAACACTAGCTATTCTTACAGAAGACCTGGGTTCGAATCCCGGCAGCCAAGAGCTGTCCATTGTAACTCCAGTTCCAGGAGATCTGATGCCTTCTTTTGACCTCCTTGGGCACTGCACGACACGGGTGCACTTACATACACATAAAATAAAAAGCATACACATAAAATAAAAATAATAAAGAAAATATTTTTTTAAAAAAAGCAGGGTTTAAGCCGGGTGTGGTGGCGCACGCCTTTAGTCCCAGCACTTGGGAGGCAGAGGCAGGTGGATCTTTTGAGTTCAAGGCCAGCCTGGTCAACATAGTGAGTTCAGGTCAGCTGGGGCTACAGGGAGAGACCCTGTCTCAAAAAGACAAAAAAAGAAAAAGAAAAGCTGGGTTTAATGTGGCCTTTCCCACTTCGCACTAAAATACCTAAGACAAATGTTTTCCCCAACATTAATAAAAAACCTACCTCCCAAATGTAGGACAAGACTCCACTTTATTACATAACATTTATGGGAATATTTTTGACAAACACCAGGGCTTTACACCACATGGAAGAGACTGGCTTAAAAAGCAGGCAGGAGAGTACTAAAAGAGCAGTTTATGTCTCTTCACTGTCTCCTGTCTTAGGAGACCTGGGGAATGTATTATCTAGAAAGCCTGGTAATCAACATATACTATCCAGGTATTACTTTAGGATAAAGTCAATGAGTTTTGCTCTTGTTTTGTCCTCTATGTACCACCTATCTATATCTATTTAAGGGAAAACAAAAAATTTTATTAGATAACTGAGTAGAAAGAACAAGCCAGTGGTGTCACCATGCTTCCTGCAAAGAGGCTATTTAACAGGCAAATGCTTCAGATAGGACAGACAAGGCAAGCAGTGCTTTTTTACCTATTCCTTCAGAAAGTGTCTACAAACTAGAGAGCTGTGGCAAGAAAACACATCATTCTGAAAGAGTAGAGCTATACCAAGTGAATGCTTTTAGCTGAGAGTCTGAGAAGAAAATACATAAGTAAAAAGCTTACTGTCAACAGCAATCAACTACTGTCAACTGGCAAATATCAAGTCTACTGAGCTCATCCAACAGGATGAGCAAAGGGAGGGTGGGCAGATAAGACATATGTCCTAAGGATAAAAACAACCAACCAACAAAAACTACCACTACAAAGGTAAAGGAAATTAATCCCTGGATGACACTTTTTTGTTTTTGAGACAGGGTCTCCCTGTAGCCCCAACTGGCCTGGAACTCACTAGGTAGACCAGGCCAGGCTGGTTTCAAACTCAGAGATCCACCTGCCTCTGCCTCCTACCACACTTTTAAAAATGGTCTAAGAGGCAGGCATGGTGGTGCAGGCCTTTAATCCCAGCATTCAGGAGGCAGAGGCAGGGAGCTCTGTGAGTTCAAGGCCAGCCTGGTCTACATCATAGACAGCTCCAGATCAGCTGGGGCTGTAAGGAGACCCTGTCTCAAAAAGAGAAAAAAAAAAAAAGGCTAAGTGTCCTAAAGAAATGTTTAGTGAACTTTCTGGAATGCTTAATTCTACACGAGAAGACTTTACCTCCAAGAATAGTGTAATAGATATCTGTTCATTCATTTGACCTTCCTGAAATTTATCCCCTAAGATGTGCCAGGCATTAAATGAATGTTAGATATATAGCAACCAATGAAACAGTGAATAAGGCAGTGGAACTTGATACTGAAACAATTCTCCTGTAAGGGGCCAAAGGCATTTCTAGGAAAAAGAATGCTAAATTGAATCTCAACTACAGAGTTTTTTTTTTTTTTTTTTAACAGCACAGCTCTTGCCCAATCAAAATTTATCACCTCTGCAATCTCTTTAATTGTGGCAAGGTTTAACATATAGTCCACATTAACTGAAGGTTTACTCACCATCTTCAGAGCTGCACTATCATCAGTGTATAATTTAGCCACTAAATGACCTCATGTTTTAACCTTGTTAAACCATTATAACTTTCTTTAGATTCAAGAGACTTTTCTCTGGAAAACAGGATGGTAATAAAGAGAGGCTAGAAAAAAATAGAAAAGGGAAGCATAAACATATAAATTACCAGGACTCACAAAGAGTTCTCTCTTCACTATACCAGCTGACTTGTATAGGTCAAGATGAACACAGTACACCAGAAAGAGGAGCACTGTGAAGTATAACTTAAAGGGGCAAAACGACATACCACTGAGAAAAAAAGCACAGGGCAGACTGAAGGTATGAAGTTCAGTGGTAGAGTGCTTGCCTAAGTGACTGCCTAGTATGTACAAAGTCATGGGTTTGAGCCCCAGCACCCAACACATGCACGCACGCACCCACACACACGCTCTAAGGAAACTGCAATACTAATTAAAATCAGAGAAAGATCAGAAAAGATAAAAACAAAATACAAAAATGAATCAATGAGCTGGACATGGTGACGAATGCCTTTAATCTCATAATCTCAGTACTTGTAAGAAGCAGGCAGCTCTCTGGATGTTTGAGACCCACCTCATCTACGTAGCATGTTCCAGGCCAGCCAGGACTGCATAGTGAGACCCTGTCTCAATAAACAAATCAGTGAAATACAAGGAGATGTTATTCTTTCAGAATGCAAAGGAAATTGTCAGAAAGGGGAAATAATGAAGGAAACAGAGATGCAACACTTGATACCACTAAAGGAAAACAAGAGGTTAGATTAGGAGAAAAGCAACCTATGAAGACAAATCACAAGAATAACATCTTCAACAGAACAAAAACCTTGCACACAGGTTGGAAATGTTCACGACACTTTCAGCAAAATCATATGTTCATTTACCTAGAGACGGCATCTCATGTAGTCCAAGATAGCTTCAAACTCACTACATTACTGGAGATGACTTTGATCCTGACCCTCCTGCCTTTGCATCTTAAGTGCTGGGATGATGAGCATGTAAGACCATACAGAGCTTTTTTTTCTTGAGACAGGATCCCTGTATGTTGCCCAGGCTCATCTCAAAATCAAATAATCCTCCTTCCTCCACCTCCAAAACAGCTGGGATTACAGGTATGTGCCACCATAGCTGGGTTCTTGAAGTCAGTTTTTAAAAAAGGAAAAAAACAGGCTGGTGGGGCTGGAGAGATGGCTCAGCGGTTAAGAACACTGGTTGTTCTGCAGAAGACCCAGGTTCAAATCCCAGCACCCACATGGCAGCTAACAACTGTCTGTAACTCCAGTCCCAGGGCATCCGACAGCTTCTTCTGACCTCCGAGGGCACTGCACGACACAGATGCACTTACCTACATGCAGGCAACACATGCATACACATAAAATAAAAATAAAAAATTTTTAAAACTTAAAAAAAAAAACAGGCTGATGGGTCAGTGAAATGTACCTGTCACCAGCACCGTCAATCTGAGTACAACTGTAGGGACCCATGTGGTAAAAGGAGAGAACAAATTCCTGCAAGTTGTCCTCTGACCTACATACTGGGCTTTGTATGTGTGTCCAAACATTCAAACACACACATACAAATAAATAGATAAACACATGTAATAGCTGGGTATGGTAGCACATACCTTTAGTCCTAGCACTCAGGAGGCAGAGGTAGGCAGATCTCTGAGTTCAAGGCCAGCCTGGTCTACATATAGAGTTCCAGGCCAGCTGGTGCTACAAGGAGGCCCTGTCTTAAAAAGACCAAATTAAATAAATAAAATAAATAAATAGATAGAAATAAAGGAAAGAAACAACAAAAATGTATACATGCTGGCAAAAATCCCAATTATATAAGACTACTCTGTAATATTAAATGTTAAAAGAGAATGAAACTTGGGAGGAATTCAAGACCAGCTTTGGTTATATAGTGAGTTAAGGTCAGTCTGGGCTACACAAGACATTGTCTCAAAAACAAAACAAAAGGAAACACCCCACAAAACCAAGGAACAAAGAGGTAGAAGAAAAGAAAATGAAAATCTACAGAATTTTAAAATTTTACACTGGTGAGCCTACTGGCAAATTTCTATTTGGGAGGCTGAGGCAGGAAGATCCCAAGTTTGACAAGTACCTGGAATTATAGTGAGAATTCAAGACACTTCTGAAAACTTGAGTTAGATTCTGTCTCAAAATAACTAAAAGCCAGGGCTGGAGAGATGACTGAAAGGTTAAGAGCACTGGCTGCTCTTCCAGAGGACCTGAGTTCAAATTCCCAGCAACCACACAGTGGCAAACAACCATTTGCAACTCCAGTTCTGGGAGATTCAATGCCCTCTTCTGGCTTCCATGGGCACTGCATGACACAGGTGCACTTATAAAGAAGCAGGCAAAACACTCATAAACATAAA